ATTTTCTGACTTATTGCCTGTGCTACGTAATATCATCAGCTGCACCAGACGTTTTCAGATCCGGGATAGTAGTAAAACGTGCTGTTAGCTGACTGTTAGTTCCCAAAACTATGAAGTTTAGCTAACAAAACTATTGCTAGCCCATGCAATAATGTTCGCTAAGCCGCTGCCAGGGAAATAATCGTTGCCATAGCTAATGTTTCGCTGCAACAACAACAAAAAAAATTTCCGTGTATTGAATCTAGTTTTGTCCTCTTTTAGCGAACCGCTTTTTGCTTTGTTATGGTCCCCCTGACCACTATGTTTTGCTAAGCTCTGCCACTCTGGGCAAGGCCTACGTATGGTATTGTAACCTACTTTGAAGCACACTAACTGAAAATTAAAGCTATATCATCTGCTCCCACGTTAGCGCAAGCTTAGGTTTTTTAAAAATTTACGTAGATATTTTTCACAGTGTTAGTTCCTCGTGCTGCTCCTCTTTATCTGCCATGCAGCTCGAGTAAACGCCGAGTGGTACTTCGCTGTAAATTCAAGCGCACAGTTCTTTTATTCTTTCTTGATTCTTTTCCCGATTTTTTCCTTATTCGTTCTTATGCTTTAACTGATTTCTTTCATTCATTTTCCCTATTAATTTTCCCTAAACGTTTAAATGATTTTGTTTTGAGGCTTCGTACACGCAGATTTTGTTTTAGTTGAGTACCCCCGCCCGTTTTTCTTTTTTTTTTCTTTTTTGTAAACTCTTGGCTCCTCCCTTCGCAGCTGAAGAAGACTGGCTGGTCCCGCGAGGACGTGGACCTGTGGGAGCTGAACGAGGCGTACGGTGGCTCGACGGTCGCCGTCAACCAGTGCCTCAAGCTGGACGACGCCAAGGTCAACGTGCTCGGGGGCGCCGTGGCGCTGGGCCACCCCATCGGAGCTTCCGGTAAAGTCGTAGTACTAATATACATCTCGTGCACCATCCTGCCGCTGCTCCTCAGCGCCTGCCTCGCCTCAGTCGCTAACCGTCCTACCCTCTCGTACCCCAACAGGCGCGCGGGTGCTGGTCACGCTGGTGCACGCGCTCACCAGGACCGGCGGCAAGAGGGGCATCTGCTCGCTGTGCATCGGCGGCGGCATGGGCATCGCCATGGCCGTGGAGTGCGTTTGAGAGCCGAGGAGTGAGGGCGCTACCGGAACGACATGGTTTCGATATCGCTTCTCAACATCGCATGATTTCTCAATGGGGCAGAAGCAATCATATTTTTTTAGACAGTCCCCAAGACTGCCCAGAAGGTGAAGATACTCCCCCTCCCCCTCCTCGTTTCCACCTCCCTTTATTTCTGTCTCCCTCTGTCCACATCCCCGCAGCGGTAAAAAATTTTCAATCGTCACAAATATATACAAATTTACGGAAAAAAAACACTTTCGCAGAATGGTATAATAGTTCATGTATAAAACAGTCAACAGTGAAAAGAACACGACGACAACAAGTGTGGCACTAATAATGTCATGTCCACAAGAGAGAGTCGAGGCAGCACCCTTAATCGATGCACGTGGTGAGAGCGGGATCGCTACTGTTGCCTGACCCAAATAACATTTGCATTCACACTTGTTATCGAACCTCATTCATAAAACAATCAACCCACCTGTGTGCCAAACCGGCCCAACCTCTACGACGTCGGGAACAAACGGGCATTTATGCAGCACGACTAAATTTTGCTCGACTTTTGTATACTCATCTGCTCTGATAGTTCGTGTTTTCCGAGCTTTTTATTTTTTTTGCATTATATGTTTTTGTAATAATAAAATACATGCCATCTCATTAACCTTTGTTTTTCACTGCCCTCGAGTTGCGCTTGGAATAAAACACTCAATTATTAAATAAAAACAACTAATTATGTGCAAAAAGAATTTTTTTAAAATTAATAGGAATAATTGCACGAACGTCTCGACTAGATCGAGGGACACTTCTAATCCAACTTCGGGGCTTTTAGCCTATTTCGTTGGAAGAGCTAGATCCCGGGAGCGAAATTTCGCCACCACTGTCAATTCATAACGAGGCTGGGTTCTCAGGCCTCCCCACGCCACACTAAACCACTTTCCTTTCTGGGGAGACGTCGAATGGGTTGCCTGTCCGCCGGGCGCTCCTGGCCCTGCGCATCGAAGTCACACTACCACTGGGAGAATGAGATAAGCCCCCTCTCTCTCTCTCTCTCTCTCTCTCTCTCTCTCTCTCTCTCTCTCTGTCGGTGTGTCAGTCAGCCGATGAGAGCGAAGGTGGAAACGGAACGAGTAACGAGTCATATTTTCCTTCTCTAGCTTCCTGTCTTCCTGCAGCGGAAATACCCTATTTAATGGGTATTGATTGGTTTCTGCTCCTATGACTTAAAAGCAACTGCAGGGAGGCCGCCTTTGAAAACAAGTTTGTTGTAGTCTTTTCACCGAACGCGGAAAAAAATAATCAAAATCCAATTTCGTCGAGGCTGCAGGGCTTGTATCGGCTTATTCCTGGACGTCGTGGCTACGTCGATGCTACGCGCCGGCAGCCCTTGAAAGGTTGTCTTTTGAAGGGCGGTACCTTGCTGCTCCCTAGCAACGGCGCAAATGTCGTTCTAAAGTTTGTCACAACAAGGAGGACGAGGAAGCGCAATCTAGTCCGTAGAACGCCTCCTCAGTCCGTCGCCATGGCCCTGCTCGTCCAGCTCGTCCTCCTCCTCCTCATCGGCGTGCTCTGCTGGGCCGGGGCGCGCGCCGCCCTGCACCCCGTCGTCACCTCGCCCGCCCCCGGGGCCGAGTGCGTGGCCAGCTTCGTCGCCTCGATCCTGCCGCCCGATAACTCCTGGATCATCGTGCACGGCGACGCGCAGCTGGTCGGGCGACTCCTCCAGGAGCTCCAGGACCTCGGCAGGGGCGCCCAGACGCTCGTGATGGACCCGCGGGACATGCCCAGCCACATGCGCTTTCTGATGCGGTTCACTGTGAGCCTCTACGTGATCGCCGCGGTGAGTCCCGTCCACCTCTCGACGCTCACTGACGGGATAACAGATACTGCGTCGCTGGCCTCCGGGATGGTGCTGTGGACCAGGACGTCGTCTCTGGATTCCGCCCTGTTGCGCGACCAGGTCGACCGGGGCAGGTTGCTGTGGGTGTGCGAAAGAAGAAGGCACCTGATCGTCTCCGCCCCCAACGGCACCACAGTCTACTTCTCCCCCGACATTGGGGAAAGCTGCGTAATGCGGTGGAGTGATCTGAAGGTGACGGAAATGGGCCGTTGTGAGCCGGGGCACCGAGGGTGGCAGGGCCCGCGGTGGCCACGGCTATGCTCGAGGTGGAAGTCACCGGAGCCGGGTAAGACGGCCTCCCAGTTTCTCTGTATCAAACCCAACATCCGATCCTCCCACCACCAAATCGCCGATTTGAATCCCTATTACGATACCTTCTATAAATATGCGAGCATCTTGACGACTGCGGTGAGTAGGCGGATGCCCGTTGAACTCTCATTTGTTGAGCGCGGCGGTTCAGAGCTTATGAACAGCACTGTTAACTGCTCTCTGGCGGCAGCCCTCCTGAGGTCTCCGGTAAGTGTGGGGCCCTCGCCCTACCTCGAGTACGACTCCTTTTTCATGGCCCCTATCATCGTCGTGGTCCCGGCCGGCGCCGGCCCGCGACTCGACCCGCTGCGGGCGGTGACGGCCGAGTTCTCGGCGGAGCTCTGGGTCGCCACGGCCCTGGCGCTGCTGTTCATGACGGCGGCCGCGGCGGTGGCCTGGACGACCCTGGGCCGCCCTCCGCTGGCCGCCCTGGCCGCCGCGAGCCTGCAGACCCTCGCCCCGCTGCTGGCCCAGTCCCCGCCTGGCAGGACCGCTCACCGGCCGCTGTCCGCCGTCTGGCTGCTCATGAGCGTGGTGCTCGCGGCCGCCTACCAGGGCCTGCTGCTCAGGGAGCTCACCAGCCCGCCGCCGGAGATCAACAGCTTGGAGCAGCTCGAGCAGAGCGGGCTGGATATTTATGCCGAGGAGGGGCTGCATCTCATTGACAGCTTTCGGTACATGCTCAGCCACAGCCTGAAGTCGAGGATGCACTACTTCAACACAAACACCAACTATACCACGGTTCTAGAAAGGGTCGTGGACGGCCGAAACTCCGCCCTCATCTGTTGTCACAGTACGGTGAACGCCCTTACTCTATCGCATCTGTCAAATCGGGTCCACTTATTCACGCTGCCGAATTCGACGAGTCTCATGGCCAGCGTCATGTACACAAGGGGCTCCCCGTTTGCGAAGTCGCTGCATTCAGTCATAAGCTGGTTTGTAGCCAGTGCTTTGCAGATGCACATCATCACTTTGGCCGATTTTCGCCTAACACTAGATGCCGCATCGAAAGACACCGCCAGCGAGCTGGCCCACCCGCTCAGCCTGGGGCAGCTGCAGCCGGCCTTCTGCCTGCTCGCCGCGGGATGCGTCCTCAGCGCCATCGTCTTTGTCGTCGAGGTCCTGTGCCACAAGTGGTCCCTCCGACACCACGCACCCCCAGTACCAGTGTTCCTGCACTAGCCCACTTGGTTTGGTAGCAGAGTGCCTTCGTTGTTTGTTAGCGTAAAATTTCACAAGATTAATATTGTGTGTTCTTCGAAAACAAAATGTGACTATCTACGGAAAAAAACTCTGAATCTCTAGAAGCGACAGTATAAACGTTGCAAAAAAAGGTGAAAAAGTAAGTGTAGTCAGAGTTGCAGAAAAGTAAAAAAAAGAGGAGGTGCACACCGTTTTTTGTAGAGACTACCTCCCTTGGCGTAGTACAGGCTTAGATGGGCGAGAATCACGCTACCAGGATTGCGCTGGTGACCCCCGTGGGGCCGCGGGCGCGCGCGCTACTAGAATAGACGCTCACGGACTGAATTGGAGCTAATGCCATCGCAGCATATGATGGAGACCCCCCCCCCCCCCAATGGTCCGGCCGGCTGATACACAGGCCCCGGGACGTGTGGAAAGTTTTCCGTCGGCGCGGGGTTTGTTGTACTAAGCACTCCTTGCACGCGCTGATGGCGCGCTACCCCGACGAAACTGACGCTCTTCGGAACTTTCTTCTCGTCTATTTTGAGCATCTCTGCACCCCGGAAACCCCAAGTGTGTGCACGACGCACCACACTTTAAGGTGTGTGAACAGCATTCTCGTATACACGCGCATGGAGGACAATTCACACCTTTACCCCCTGAAGTGAACGAATGGGCATTCACACACCCACAAGTGTACGACATTCACACTTGCATTTCTAGTGTAATTAAAAGGATGGGAACCTACATACAGGCGTATTGTTCGGAAAGTCTCATCAGCTTGCCAAAAGCATCTCTTGCAAAATTAAGTTGTATAAATTCTCACTCGATTTCGGAAGAAGTTTCACGCTTCTGTGGGCATTATTTTTTTTTCGTAATCCAATGTGTATTAAAGCTATCTGTAATTGTTTTTCGTAATCCAATGTGTGTTAATAAAGCTATCTGTAAAATAATAATAACAGCACATTGTGGTGTTGGTGTTGCGTGCAAAGCAAGAGGTTCATGCCGCAACCGGCCAGTATCGTCACACGATAATAACTCGACACAACAACCCCGTCGCAAACGGGTCAACGATAAATATAGCAAAGCGGAGGAACGCGTGGGTAGACAGATATTGGTTTAATCTGCACAGTCAAAAAATATAATAAAAGCAAAGAAATAAAAATAGTCTTCTGAAACGAGCGAGGCAGTCGAGCGGCGTTTATCGCAAAAGGGTCGGGCGACACCTTCGTCTGTTAAATAAAGAATCTTCCACGGTCCCACCCTCCTTTTCCTTTCAATAGAGATAGTGTCTGTCTCTGTCGCACAGAGATACCGCCCATGGCTGCGGGTGGCTTGTGGTGTGGCCCGTGTATCATCGCAGCTCTCTCTCTCTCTCTCTCTCTCTCTCTCTCTCTCTCTCTCTCTCTCTC